AAGAAGTTCTAAGCTTTTGAAAGGAATAATCGGCCTTTCTGAAGTAATTAGTACCCATGGAGACCGGTTCAACGATTATTAACTTGCGTTTGTACAACGGATGGAATTATGGCATTGACTCTACTGCCATGGGTTTGGTGCAGAAAAACGGAAGTAAGGTTGTGCTGACCAAACACGGCAACTGCAGCTAAGAGGCGCTATGAAGGTGGCCTCATTGTCCAAATAATCAAGTAATCAACTGAAGTCCAAAATATGACATGTTAATTGTCATTACATCGTAACGAACCAGTTTCACGATGGAGACAAAACCTGAATGGTCGATCGGTCCTCACTTGACGGTCAATTGAACCCAGTAAAGTTGTGATTTAAGATGAGTTTAACTGTCTAAATACTCGGACCGTTGCTCCGTTATTCAGATGCGAGTAAACGGGTTATTTGTGACCCAAGAGTGTGATGCGGTTTTGCCTGCAATGCCATGGACCCGCGACCTGCTTAAAGGATCCTTAGGGTTTTAAAGGCAAGTGGCTGTGCGATCGCGGTCCCAAACCTCACAAGCTACACGCACTCTAACGAGTCATTTCTGCTAGTAAACTCAAAATTCCATCTTCATATGATTTATGGTAAAACGTTAGCAGATGAAGCTAATAATGCATTTGTTTCACTGAGCCTCACTTTTAGTACAACGGCAACTTTGCGGCGCTAGGCCATGTCTCCAGTGTTACCTCGTTGCCCGGCCACGTCGAACAACGCCCAGACGTGGCAACGCCTTTGGCGGCTACCACGACAGGCGGAGGTACTCATGCCAGGCAGCCGCCTAACGCCAAACGAAGGTACCGCAGCAGGACAGTCTCAAAGAACCCCGTTGAAGTTGTGAAAGAACGCCGTGGTAGGCGGGTGAAGGCCAACCATCGCGAGCGCAACCGGATGCATACGTTGAACGGTGCCCTGGACCGCCTTCGCCAGGTGCTGCCCACGTTTCCGGACGAGAACAAGCTGACCAAGATCGAGACCCTGCGCATGGCTCACAACTATATCCTCACTTTGACTCAGATCCTGAAGAACACCGAAAGCGAGGAAGGTGGCGGCCGCAGTTCCTGTGACTCGAGTCGGCTCGAGTTCACGCCCTCTATTGACTCATCGTCGTTAGTCTACCGTCCATCGCCTCCGTTGTCCACGGACGACCGCCGGGTACCCGGAACATCGGTTGGGAGCGCTGCCCCTTACGTCGACTTCAGGCCAGTAACAACGCCGTGCTCCGGGCCAAGCTACGAGTCGGCCAACATCTACACTCCAAACTGGCAGATGGAGGCGACAACCGCGCAAACCTCGCATTTCCCTTTCGTACGATACATGCCATATTCTTGACGTGACGAACAACGACGATTTGCTGCTGGAAAAGTTCCTTGGGCTGTCATCGTTGCCAGAGGTCATCTGAACATTTGGAAACACGTGTGAATTAAGTGCAAGAAATCTTGTTATATTTCCGTATTTTATTCGCTTTTCTTCTATGGCCCCGTGATACATAAAAACGAATAAATTTACTTGTACTTTGGAGGTGATACCTCACGTAAAAACAGCATACAGGGAGCTTCTCGCTCAATCATGGCGATCGTTCAGCTACGAGCGGGCGAACAAAAGTGCAAAGTAATGCGTGGGAAAGTACATGACTTGCCTTCGAAAGTTTCCGAGGTTTCCAGAGGAACGAGGCACTAGTTTGAACTAAGATTTCACAAATAATCTGCGGAATTAAATACGTTTTTATGTATATATTTAATTTCTAGTTAAAATAATTTGACACGTGATCGACCATACACACACAGAGCACGTCAATCCAGAACAAGATCCGCAATGATCTGGTGAACGGTCTGCAGGAAAGACCAACTATGGTTAATGCAACCTTGTTCAAAACGGGTTGCGGGCCAAGTTTTAAAGGCGCGACGGATGCACTTTTGTCGGGTGGTACAAATACAAACAAATTGCAATAAAAAGCACATGGAGAAGCCAATAAAGCACAAAATCCAGCATTGGAATGCTAATCGTACAGCGAGGGAAAACAGGACGAGTTAATCATATGAGTCTGCTTTTCTTTGCTCATTTTGGGGCAGTTTGTTCCGCAAATAACGGCTTCTTTTTCTACAGTTACCCTCTTTTCAAATTTTCCTGCTGGATGGCCAGTGAATAAAGTACTTCATAACGATGCTGGCTTTTGCTACCGCTGAACCGTTATCATCTGCTCAATTTATTCAAGCCATACGTTCTGGTATCCTATTTTTAAGGTTTAATCTAATTTCTCTGATCTAGGTGTCGCCACTAGACCAACTGAGGTGATGCACTCCCCCCTCTCTCCCCGGGTCATCTTTTCGTGCTAGATCGGTTTGCAGGTCAGTCAAGATTCCGGCTTCCGTTCATCGGTATGGATAGGCAGAAGAGTGTATCGGAGAGCTCTAAGTAAACTTATGCAGTCGAAGAAGGAGACAGAGTTACAAAGAGGCTTACGACCTACGTCACATAACAATTTGCTCCAAGCTCATCAGGCATGTGCTTCTTGTCATCATTCCAGCCGCAGGAGAGATTCTCAATGGC